GACATGCCGCGCCAGCAGGCGCCCACGCGTGTCCCCGGCCTTCTCGCGGAGGAAGAAACGCACCGCGCTCTCAGCAGGCTGATCCTAACTATCAAGTACCCGACACGCAAGTGGGAAAAGCAGCGGCTCTGCCATCCGGACGGATTTTATGTCACGCAATACTGAGGCACGCACTGCTGAGCAATTGTACATTTCATTTACGACCCACACGACAAGCACCAACACGGAGCCTTCGCTGGCCAGTATCTTCCAGTCCCTGAAGCTTTCACGCAGTGCTTCAGAGGTATCTGCGATTAACAAAGGAAAAAAGGAGAACACACCCCCTACCCTCAAACCCCACAACTAAAACCCAATCCCACTAACCAGAACCAAACAGGAATGACATGACTGGGTACAATAAATTTCTTTTCAAACTGTTTCTTCCAAAAAAAAAGTACTCCCATTTTACTAAATACTTAGATATTTTAAGGAAACTTCCATAGGCTTTGCTCTCTGTCCCTTTGCTGTTAAGATGCAGGGTAGACCACAAAACAGTTAAGAAAAAGGTACTAATAAAAATCATTCTCTCTGTGCACTGCTATACAAGTTTAAATATTAAAAAAAATAAAATGCTTTGTATATACACAAGCATATGCAGTCACAAAAGAAACTGTGCTCTCAAGACGTCTACAGCAAATTTTTTTCTGCTAATAATATACAGTATCATTCACCATTATTTTCCATTATTTAAGACTTTCATAGCTGCACTCTTTCATGACATACAATACCAACATTGCTCAAAAATCTAAAACATTAAGTTTATGATCAACATGATCTGTTCTGCCTAGTTCTTTATTCTGCACTTTTTTGCAAGTAGAGAACAGGCAAAGAACACGTGCAAGTTGCCCCTGCCTGAGGGGGAGCACAGCATACCGCTCCAGAAGCTAGAGGTACAGGAAGAACTAACAGTACGTGCATGTAAAAATTTATTCCAGTCTCTCCATTCATTTGGACAATATTTAAAGCATCCTTTTTCACCAATGGTATTTAGATTAAGCAGCACCTTTAGAAGCTTTAAAGAATCTGGAGATACAGGAGTTTCTTTCAATCTCTAGAAATGAACACATAGGATGAGAAACATAACTCCATTTGGGTACAGACTCTTCGCTGCACAGCCGACCCTTCTGAGACTCAAAACTCTTCCCTGACCAGTAGAAGGAAAGGGTGCAAGGTAGTAACTCTTCATGGCTTATCTGTATCACTATGGAATACAAAGTAAAATTTCTATCATTCTGGTTTGAATTTCTGAAGATACTGTTCCTGCTTTCTTCTGCTGCAAACTGATGTATGTCATTAAGTTCTGATGAGCAATGTGGGTTTACTGACTTAGGTTGAGGTACAAAGACAAATTTGTTCTTATAATCACTTTTTGTTCTCACTCTCAGCCTACTCAGTGCCTTGCATGAAGATGGTGAAAAGCTAGTGAAGTGCATATTTTGACTTAAAACCAGTATAAAATTATTCAGAATGCACATGGCAGCAACCAGTAACCTGTCTCTTTAAGAATATTATTTATTTGTTGTTGTAAACAACCTTATTTTTAAACAAATTAAAAATACATTGAAAAGTCTCTATATATACACAGTACATGTTGAAACTTCGCTTCATTGCAATGCCATGGTTTAAGCAGAAAAACAAGAGTTCTTGATCCAAAACTCAGCTGCAATAAAACACTCTTCGGCAGTACGGCACACCATGCTGCAAAGACCTGGTCCTTTCAGGAATACTTCATTTGTTATTTATCACCTGAACCGTTTTTCGGCCGTAGTGGTAATAGCTGTACGCAGATGTTACCGTTGTGAAAGCCGTGATACACCTTTGGGGAAAACAGTTCCTGTAAGTTGCTTGAATCTAAGTACAATAATAAAAAGTGTTATTTTTAAGCATCTTCCCTATGTTTCACTACACAGTCAAGGACTATGTCCTACAGAAAATCAATTTACAGTTTATACACTGAAATTCAGTGCTAAATGGAAGATTAGATAAACAAAGGAACTGCCAGCCAGCACTAAGTAGCATACTTCAGTGTAATCGCACACTAGGCCAAATTTACCATATTAGCACTTGTTTTATAGAAGGGAAGACAAAAGATCTGTTTCACTATTTGTACCCTATATCGTTTTTACCAGCCTGAGAACTGAATGATGTGAGAAAGTATCCCTTTGTAATATGAATGGGGAGCATTCAAAACATACAAACCATGCAAGACTTGAACTTACTGTTTTACCAAGTTCCAAAGCTAAAGCACAAGTTTTAGCTTCAGCCTCTTTTGTCCCCTTCCCAGACACTGGGTAATAACCATAATGTTAACAAATAAATAAAATAAAATTTCTAAATTAGCAGTGCTCCTCTGTGTCAAAGGTTGACACCATCCAGGTGTGAGCCACCGCTACAGCCCTGCCCCTCCATCACCGCTGCCCTCCCTGGACACACTGCCAGACTCATCCAGGTAATTTTTGAGCATTTACAGAGGAGCCTGGCAAGTTACACCCAGAATTTCTCCATTACTCATGGCATCGTAACTCTCTCATGGTCCCAGACAAGCAGCAAGGTAAGCGGCTTTCACAGATGCAATTCTAGATCTGGCTTTCCAACTGGATGGAAAACCTCACTGACTCTTAAGATCAAGGTTCCTAGTTCCTTAAAAGCTTTGGGTTTTGGTTTGTGGGCTTTTTTTTTTTTTTTAAATAAAACACAAGTAACATTGGATTTTCCATTGCTTTAAAATAAGTTACTAAGTAATTCTGCTATCTGCCATTCAGCCTCTTTGTTCTGAACTCTTACCTAACTGCTCGGGAGAAGTAACTGCACTTGTTCACCTGCTGTCAGCTACAATTCAGATTCAGATACAGTTCAGATCTGCAGTGATAGCAGTGAAAGGAACAGCCATTACATAAGGAGGTACGCTCCTGTATGCCTGTTTTCATTTGATCCCTCCCCTTCCTTCCTATAGTCTAGCAGGAATCATCGATCTCTTCAGGTGCTTTTCAAAGTGGCTTCAGAAACCTAGATTTCAAGACAGCAGATACAGTACAAAGCAAAAGTAAGAAAACACTTCCTGTCTCTTTTTTTACTGATATAAAGGTTGCTTTTCCAAGGACCCTTACAGCATATAAGCATATTACACCAATAAAGAAAGAGCCCACAAAGCGTTTCTCCTTTCTTTTCTATTAAACTGAATTTACGTTTTACCTGTGTACATCATGTCTATTCTGAAGACTTGTTTCTCAGCTATTATTCCCAGATCTTAACTAGTTTTGACTACTTTTTGCTTGTATAGTAAATTAAGTACCAATAAATATCTAGGTCCTGTGTCAGTTAAGAATAAACATACAAAAATTCAGGCATATGGGTCTACTACATCATCTGGGCATAGCTTTTTGTTCCACACAATTAGATTAATCTGAATTAACAGTTTCTTTAGGAGTACATTGTATTATCTGAAAAAAAAGTGAAGACATAAGTTACCATAATGTCTGCAGATATATGCTGTCCACATAATCGAAAACAGGAGCTGCTAAAGAAGCTGCCACCAATACTAGCTGAACCGCTGTGTTCATCTGATAAAAGCAAAATAGGAAATGTGACCAAAATGAAGACGTTTACTATACAAGGAATACCAATATACACTTTTATTACTGGTTTACGTATTAGTCTGTATACAGAAAACTTGTTTAGAAACCTCCTTTAACGAATCATCTTACACACTCAAATTAGCATGTGCTCTGACAGAGTATTACTGAAAATCAGGATGCAAGTTGCCTCCAAATTAGCTGGCACTATTTTGAAACTGCACTCAACATTAGGAGTAAACAGCACCCTCCCTCCAAACTACACACCACCCCAAGTACTGAGGAGTTATCTTTTATGACAAGTTACTTACCTTGCTAATGAATGTTGGTTTTAATTGTGCAGTAGCATAACAGGGGTTAAAATACCTACTGAGTGTTCTCTGTTGGGGGAAAAAAATAGGAAAAAAAAAAAAAGACAATTCTAGTATATTCAATTTGATACACCTCTTCACATGATACAGAAAAGTCAACTGTAGCACTAAAGAATTATACTGCTACTGCTCATGTATGATATATTACACATCATACACAGGAAAAAAAGTTATCAGTAAGTGACTCATCTTTATGAAACCTATTTTATGAAATCCTGTTCTGCTTACAAATCTATCTGGCAAAAGGGCAAGCATGGCATTACACCTTAGGCTATCCACCCAAGTTTTGAGCAACCATCTCAAGATTAAAAACTCTTGGTTAGAACTTTGTTAAAGCCTTATTAATTATTTTATACTTGTAAAAATACAGAAGATTTAATCAAAATAAAATGATTACACATTCATACAATTTTGTTTAATGCTATACACTTACCGGTGGAGAAAGAGTTTTATATCGCACATAAAAAACTGCAGCAATGAGCGCTACATCCCTCAGAATAATCATGGAAGTAAGTGAAACTGAAAAACCAAGCCAACAGGATCTACTGAAAAATCACATCCATGATTAAAACAAAAACAAAACCAAAAGAGCACAGAATACGAAGCAAGATGAAATAACCACCCTCAAATTCTTCTGAACAAGTTTTATGTGTGACTGAAGACTTTTAATCGGACTCCTGAAAGGGTGTAATCTGAAGTCTTAAAACAATCCAGTCTACAAGAAAATTTTTGATATAGCTACTAACCATTATTGCTTCAAAGAAAATACATTTAAAAATGGCAGTATATGCTAGTTGGTTTTGTGTATGTCAGCACATGCTTTCTGTAAGGTCTACTGTAGGGGGTGGTTTTTAAGTATTTAATAGGAGCAAAGAGAAAAGTGCAGCCAACAAACCAAGAGTTCCAAGCCATGCACAGTTTTCCTTCCAGAAACACAAGAAATATTACCACACATAAAATTAGCTTCTTTACCTTATATAGCACACTCAATTGATGTTTTCTCACCTGGGATAAGATTTGCACAAGTTAGGCTCACATAGAGCACACTGATGAGAATTTTATCAGCAAGAGGATCAAGAGCACTTCCCAAAGCTGATTTCTGATTAGCCCAGTTTCGTGCAATAAATCCATCCAGCTAGGAAAAACAAAGTTCAATTTTTCTCTGTTAGAAAACTAAGAATAAAACCAGCTTATACATAGTACTGTTACAGAGATATTTCATGAACGACATCACATAATACAGCTAGTTTAGCTAAGATGAAGTACAACACCCGTTAGTTGCTATTTGTATCATGTTTTTTTCACATTGGTGAAAGATTCTGGAAGCCTCTGAACATATTCAGTTCTCATTATTTACACACACACACAAAAGGAAAAGATAACCGATGGTGGAAAATTTACACAATTCTTGTCATGATAGGTGTAGCGGGTACACTTGCACATGGTAACAGACCACTAGATGCATAAGCGCTGACTGGAAATCCTGACAGCCCCTTTGCTCCCCCAGCACTAAGTCCCCTTCAGGCATCTGCGAGCTCCCTTTGCAGTGTCACAAAGGATGTATATAGCCTTTCTAGAAAACAATGCATGTAATAACTGATTTGCTTTGTTAATTTCCATTCTACACTGGAGTCTGAATTTGAATGCAAATCAATGGGACCACCGCAACCCACGCTATCCCCAAAGTATTTCCAAACTGATGTAAACATACCAAATCCGTTACGCCAGCCAAAACAAAGACACCTAGTGCAACATTGAAATTTTCTTCAACAATCAAATAGCCTAAAACTGGCGCCAAACCCATTCTTGCCATTGACAGTATATTTGGGATCGTCCAGGGGTTTTCATACTGTAAAGCAAGAAAGCATAAACTTCAGGCCGAGAAGGCAAACGCCCGCTTAGCACATAACAGAATTAATCAAGACAAACACACACTTTAAAGCTGAACTGGCCAGAAAGCCGTCTAGATTCTTGGAAGCAACCTGCCGCTTGCACAAGACGCCCGGACACGGCCTCTAACTATTAAATATTAACTCAGCCTTCAGTAGGAAAACACGTCGCCACCGAGGCCCGCAAAGTCCTTGTGGGGCTGTTAAATGTGGGCGTGACAGCGCTCTGCAGCGGGCAGCGCGATGCGCCCCGGCCCGCCAGCGGCAGG